ACTGTCTTTGTCATATAAGCTGTTTGGTTTTGTGGAATATACCATCGTAATTGTATATCCCTTACCGCCTTCCTCCCATCTCTCTCTCTTTCTCTCCCTCTCTCTATCTCTCTATTTCTCTTTCTTTCTCTCTTCTCGCTGGCATCACACCCCTCTCCCCTCTCTCCTTTTCTCTCTCTCTGTCTCTTTTTCTCTCTCCATCTCAATTTCTCTCTTCTCGCTGCCAGTGCTCGTACACGTCCACGTAAAACCACGTAACTCATCGACTTACGTGGTTTACCAAATCAGCGCGTAGATGTCGTGTAAGGCACTTGCCGACTTAAACTTTGTTTTTCTAAAGCAGCGAATGCATGATACGTAGAACGTACTCATTGACTTGCGTGGTTTTACCAAATTACTGCAGAGTGGTACGGATGAGTGTTTGCTGTTAAAACAATGTTTCTCTACAAAATCTTCTGATAGTTAGAGGGAAAAAAGAGAAAATGTTATTAGCTACATACAGTTAATGTGTCTTGTAAAATGGCGAAAACAGCAGTGATTAAACACCTAACGTGTAAAACTCTCAAATCTATTACCTCGAATATCTTGAAAGCGCCGAAACAAAAATATTTGCTTTTAACGATTTCAGCCGTCTCTCTCTCTCTCTCTCTCTCTGTCTCTCTCTGTCTCTCTCACGCGCTCTCTCTCACTCTCTCTCTCTCTCTCTCTCTAAATCTCTACCAATCTCCCCCTCTCACTCTCTCTTCCTCTCACTGCTCATTTGCCCATCTCTCTTTTTCCATTTCCCCACCCCTTCCTCTCTCATCATGCACGCTGCCTCCCATTTCCATTTTCCATTTTCTCTGATATTCCTCTCTATTTCTTCCTAGACATCAATGTTGTCATTCTTCGATCAATTTTTTTTCCTCTCTGTTCATTATTCGTGAAAGGTAAATAGTACTATTAACGAATGCGGGTGAGATGGCAAAGTACTCATACCCACCCCTTCTTCGTCTCTAATTCCCTTTCAGGACCCTGTCATTTTCATTGTAGCTGATATTTAAAACTCCCGGGAAATGATGGATTTTAGCTGCATGTCATCGAAACTATGTAATAAGATCGCTTGTCTGACGTAGTAGACTTTACTCGGCTGCGAGTCACTTCATCGAGCTCAAGAGCCCAGTTCTCACAAGATATCATTATGGAGGGGGATGAAAGCTTGTATTTTTTTCTAAATCAATATATTTTTGAAATAATTTGTATTCCATCTATCTCTTGTTCAAGATTCAGGATGTTAGTGTTAATCATTTGTCCACCCCTTCTTCGGATTTGCCTTCTCCTCATGATTCATTTCCACACTCTCTTTTTGTGTGTGTGTGTGTGTGGGGGGGGGGGGGGTAGCATGATACATCAATAATAAACATGTCTGTCTTAAAAGGTGATGAATTACATAAGTTTGAAAAATCAGTCATTATTTCTGTATAATATGTATTTTGAAAGTAAAATTCGTTAAGTTGCCATCTCCATTTCCTGTTATTTCTTTTTGGTTCGCTTGATCTTCTTCTGACTTCTTCCGTGACAACGGTAACATCATTAGCGCTATCATCAATTTCAATTCGTGAAAACGGGGTCATTTGGCGCTGCCCGTGAGTCGGATCACCAGTCAATTACGAGCTCGTATTCACAACCGGTCTTGTTTACACTGCTATCCACAACGTTAACAATTTATTCTAGCTTCAATAACGGACTCCGTACGGTGGCCTTAGCGCGCCCACACGAAATGAAATTTGTTCCTAACCAACACAAATCCATCATAAATCAGTACAAACAAGTCAGTATTATGGCGAGCCGTGAGGGTTTATATTGGTACTTGGGAAAGGTGATGAAAGACTATATTCCCCTTTTTTCTTTATTTTCTTTCTGGGATTCCTGTGTGTGATTGGAGATAAGTCACGATCTGTTTGAGATCTCTCATCCCTCGTGCGCCTAATTGGGATGTCGTGAGGGTTGTTCATATTATTTGGTCAGGCTAATTTTATTTTATTCTTTTATACCCTTATCTTTCCCACTTCACTCTGTTGTCGATTTCAGTTTTGAGTATTTCCTTATGTATTTTATTCTTTCATTGCCTCCCTTTTTGTTGCTTATAGACTGCTTATTAGAGCTTCAGTGGTTGATGTATTTCAGTTTTCCCTTGCTTTCCCCCTATTTAAAAAATATTTTAAAAATTCGGGGGGGGGGGGGTATATTCAATTTTTTTCTTCTTCATTTCCCTCTCTCCTATCATACATCTCTTCTTTTATATTGAATTGATTTATTTTCTTTCTCTATCTTCTCTATCTATTTGTGTCCTGCCGTCCTTCTTTCCTTCTTCTATTTAATGTTATGTAAAGAGAAGAAACTAGGAATACGACTAGATATCGGATGGTTTGTCAACGGAACCTGAGTCGTACATTCTCTGAAGTGAGTTTCGGTTCTGATATATCATATTATTATTGCTTTAAAGTCTAAAACCTCTTCTTTGACTTTTTCTGATTCAATTCTTTCAGATAACACCATAATTTCAGATCTCTTAGTCCTGTAATCTTTCCCACCCTGCTTTAGTTGGAGTTTAATTATCTCTCCCCACCCCTTGTCCCTATATGCTATACGAGTCACCATGTTTATGAGTTTAGGCAGACTTTTATACATAATTAAGCTTGCTCTGAATTAACTATAATTATCTTTTGTGCCTTACCATGTTAACGTACGCCTGTTGGTACGGTAGCAGGGGACATGATTTTTACCGAATCTTAAGAAGAGTTCCTATAACGGAACGTATAAATTACAGCCAACATTATAGGCCTACAAACTGTATTTAAGGGCTACCAGTCGCGGAAAATGCAAATAAAATGTAAAGGAGTCATACAGGAACCGCATGGAAAACTGCACTAATAAAAAGAATGTAACAAAAAATTGTGCAGGAAACGCCGGTTTTGTGAAGTAGAGGTTTTCATTTAAACGGCGTATGACCATGGATGACAATGCAAATTGAGATTTTGTTACAGATGCCGCTTTTTGAGATACCATAGTTGACTTTGTGTACTGAGAGGACAATACAAGGGCCCTCCATTATGCTTAAAAGGTGTACCTGCTGCGATTTAACATTCCAAGCACGAGCCACGCACGTCTAGTCATTGGCCGACTATATCTGACCATATCTATAGGTTCGCTGGCCAGCCAGTTGCGGTATAGTCATTCTCCTTGCTCTCAAACAGCTTGAGCAGCAGTCCAATCATGGCCACTTTGCAGAGCTGTTCGTGAAGGGCCCTTGCCCCCTCCAAGTGCCACTAGAGGATGTGCCCCTCGCCCCCTCGGGGACTCCCTAGGGGAAGACCCACAGATCCTCACCTTTTTTCTCTCTTCGCTATATAATTTCTCCCACTCTCGTTTTCGCGGGAATTAATCTCCTGGGAAGCGATTGTGACGAACCTGAGAAAAGTTCATATGCAAGGGAGATGTGTGGTTTATATTTCTAATGTACCTCGAAAAGGAAGAATTCTCTGAAACTAGAAGATAATTTCCGTTATGATAGCGTCCTAGCATGGAAACCTTCTGTAATAGATATTTCCTTTTAGTTTGGTAAGCTTACTATTCACAGTGAAGAAAGAAGTGAGGTAGAGAGAAAGTAAAAGAGAAGAGAGAGAGAGAGAGAGAGAGAGAGAGAGAGAGAGAGAGAGAGATGAATAGAGCGACAGACAGACACACAGACAATCATTACGTGACGTGACATGACGACGATAAATGGGAAATCTGGAACCTTTCCTATACAAATCAATAACAAGTTAAAATAAGTGTTATAAGCTTCTGAAATCGTGGCACTTGATTGGCTGCGAGCAAATTTTCCATTTAGCATTTGTTATTGATAGCAAGTTTAAGAAACGCCCATACCTGCTCCTAAAAGAGCGAAGCTGGCGCTCTTTAGAATTAAAACAGACTTATTTTTAGTTCGTTTTGCATGAAAACATTAATTTGTGAAATTCGCATTGCTGATTGGTAATTTTTTCTTGTTTCGGGTTGTTCGTAAATGTTGTTAATCAGTGCATGTTATTGGTTGGGTAATTCGCAATATTATAAGAGTAAGTTGATTCCGGAGGGGAATGGGGGAGGTGAAGGAGGGGTCGATTTAGGATAAATCGGTCTGTGTTTAAACTTTAATCAAAGTACTAATTGTCGGGGAGTCATTTTCCTAGGATGTGTGTACAAGTACGCTTTTGCTAATTATAAAGCTCATAATTTAATCAATATAAGCGCTTTTCTTGATAGGTTCAACCCCTTTTTTCGTTAGAGCTCCAATGTTGTGCTATGTTACAACATAAATTAAACTAATTTTACAATTCTAGAAAAGTTTAGGCTCATTCAGTTTCCAGTGAGGTTGAGCAAATTCAACATTTTCGTTTAATCAAAATATATATCATACAATTATATTAAAGAATAACCAGGTAAAATCAAGTCAAGCTCTAATTGCAGGTGCTGTTTTTAGTTAGTCCATCTAATTAGTTCATCTAAGTTTCGTCAGTAATTTTATTTATATTAAATTCTGTATGGACATTTCGTCTTAAGAACCACTTTCTCCACCGCTCCTATTTTTCAAAAATATTTTAGTGATGCCCTGTACTGCAGAGGAATGGAAATCCATTTTAGAAGTCATGTTAGGAATCACTTTCTTCTAAAGCCGAATCCACTCCAAATTAGTGGTTGAAGTACTCTTCTGAGAGTGGATTCCACTATTTTGAGCATGGATTCCACTCCTCTCCGAATTAATCCCTAATATGACTTTTAAAGATTTATTTCCACAGTCCTCAGAGAGTACGATTACAACAAGTTGTGTTTAACCCGACTGTTTTTCTCCTTCTTTTTCTTCTTCTACTTCCTTGTTCTTGTTGTTCTTTTCCTTCTCCTCCTTCTTCTTCTTCTTCTTCTTCTTCATCTTCTCCTTCTTCTCCTTCTTCCTCTTCTTTGTCAATCTAAACTTTTTCCAGCTGACCATGGCAAACAGACAACTCCTCGCCCTCGCCTTTATCGTCTCTCTCGCCCTCGCCGTCGTAGAAGCAAGGAACTTCCATGCGGCGATGGGGGGTCCTCGCCCGTGGCAGGCCGGAATGAAACAGCAAAGCGCACTACCCGATAAAGGCACTAACCCATTCCTGAAGAGGCTCAAGCAAATCGTCTTCCAACCTGATGGCTTCTACGATCCAGGCATGGACCACTTTGCCTTTGGAGAGGCTTTCAATGCCGATGAGTAGGTAGTCTGTTTTTGTTAAGGGACGGATCCTAATGTAGAAGAGGGGACAACTTAACCCTAACCCTAACACTAACCCTACACTGTGAAAATGTTGGGCAATATTTTCCAACACTTTGCCAAAAGTCAACCCAACTATCTATTGGGCAATATTTTCGTATTTTGCCCAACAGTTGGTCAAGATTTTCCCAACAAGTGGGCTACCGTAGTCGGGCAGTTGAAGTGTCATATCTTTGCCCAAGTTTTGGTCAAAATACGAAACAATTATGACGTGTGAAGTAGAGTACTTACGTTTACCAATACAAAATATTGCCCAATAGATGGTTGGGTTGACTATTGGCACAACGTTGGGCAAGGTTTTGAAAAAATATTACCCAACCTTTTCACAGTGTACCCTTAACACCAAACCCTTAAATTAATTCTAACCTTAACTCTAAACTTAATCTTAAACCACATCTTTCTGGCGAGATCGCGCGCAGCACCAATGCTTAACTTTATCCGAGAACAGACTCAATACCTCAATCTCGCCTAAAACTACATTTTCATCCTAATCCTAACCCTATTCCTCTGACGAGTCCTGAAACATGATTGGATGAGTCTGGATGGACTTGGTATATATAGGCTTATACATTAGACACACCGCCAAACTGACTCTATTAACCGACTCTAAAGCAGCCGATTTTTGGCCATTCGGGATATTGAAAGTTTTTTTAATCGGTTTGATGAACACAAATGTTTTGTATATTAAGCATTAAGAATTCTTTATTATAGCAGCAGATACCTGATATTGAGGGAAAATTCTTTGGAATACCTCTCGATATATTTTCTCACTTTTGTCAATCATGTGAAAAACTCTTTTCGCGTGCGAATGTAATAGGCTGATGATGTTAATATTAAAAGCGCATTACCTTAATCAAAATTGTATTATTCCGATGGGCTTATTCGCACGTAGCCAATCTGATTATTGAAAATGAGAGAGGAGACTCAAGATTTTATAGAAAACTAAAAATATATCCAAAAAGATTTTACGATCTATTTCACATGCATGATACGGTGCAACGTTAAGTTATATTTATTTACTTGTTTTCTAAATGTAAAGTAGAAACACGGATCAATTTCGCTGAGTTCCTTGCAATTATTTTAAATCCATCTCAATATCATCCAAAAGAAAAGCATCAATGCACGTGACATCCAATCACGGACGAGTATTTTGTGTTATAGTTTGAAACCTCTATATTATGACATGCGAGAGAATTACCCTTAACCAGTAATGCAAAAAATCCTTTCTCACGGTATCTATTTTACAAGAATTGCCGATGCCCGTATTACATAATGTATGATATCGTGTGTTTTGGAGTTGTTGTTTTTTTCTTCCCCTTTTTTCCTCATTCATATCACTTTTCCATCGTAACCATCATTACACAAGCAGGTCACAATCGCGAAGTTTGGCTTTCGCGAGTGTTTCTCAATATTCCCTATCCGATTAGATATATTCTTTATCTTCCCTTCATATTGCCGACGAGGAAATCCCAATAGTGCACAAGCCATGAATTTGAGAAGACTATTTCGCTAGAAGCATAACTGTATTCATGACTTGTAACGAGGAGAAAAGGTAAAAATACCTAAGCAAAGATGCAACCGATCGAAGCGCACTATCTAGCCCTGGGCAAGAGGCACACGAATTGGGCGACGGAAGTAACGTCTGCGTGCACAGCGTTAGAATTTTTTCTGATTGGTTCCTGTGACTTATAAGTAGAAATCATGATAATCCGTTTGAAGAAAGAAAATTCCATTGATGTGAGAATTCTTGTAGAGCCCATTAAAATCTGTATTGAGATAAATCCCAAATATTGATAAGAAATTGATAAAAAAACTACAAAACACTGAACAAACTCCCACTGTTTGTGTAATGTTTATTAGTAATAATATTATACGATGAAAAGTATCACAGGGTCGGTTTAAAGAAATAACTTGAAAACGGATATCTTTAAGTGAAGAACGAATCATTTTATATCAGTAAAAATATATATACGATGCAATGAAAATGGATTTTCGAACGGACGATGAACAATTAATTTGGTTTTCATTTTAATTGTTCAGAATATGTTTTATTGCATTCTTGCAACTTTTACCCTTTGTTTTCTTTCTGGTCTTATTTCAGATAGAGAACCCATCGACCACACAGAAGATGCTGAGTAAACATTTATTTTTTCAGGTAATATTTTTGTTCTGTATGCTCCAAAAATTAACCAATGCCGTGTTTTTAATCCCGTCTAATTGAGTTTTTTGTTTTCATAGGTTTTAATTCATTTCTCTCATAAAGATAATTGTACATACTTTATAACATTGTATACCAAATAACAAAATAATCTTCACATAGGTCTAAATAAATTTGCAAGTGAACTTTTACATTTCCATACAAAAAGGTTACAAATAAAGTTACACATTTACAGATGAAAAAAATATACTTAACCAAAATTATATTTTTACATTTTAAACAAATCGCAAATAAAGTTTGTACTATTTCCTCAAATATTTTGAAAAAAAAACATCTGCATCATTTATAAATCACCATAACTCTGGACCTAAATAAGAATATATTAACATGTCTCTACCGCTTTCCGAAATATGGTTTGTTGACTCTGCCTGTATTCTACAAAACTCGTACTGAATAGTAATTTTGGCAGTAATAAGGATAAAATATATTCCCTACATGTTTAAGAATCCTTATGTTTTGCCGTAAGTAGGCCTTATATTATATTTTGCTCTCTCTCTCTCTCAAGTAAATATTCGTCCAATTTTGCTGTTTAAAATCCAGGATTGAGTTAATGACAGATGTTTCATTGATTTTTTTCTTTCGTAACCCAGCAATATGAAAACAATTATTGATCGTTTATAATGGTCATCTAAGTAAACAAGCCATCTATTATCTTAAACAAGTTTTATGGTAAACCGAATGAAATGGGTATATTTAGTAAGATATAAAAATGTTCAATTTTTACACACAATTCATAATTAGCAGTAATGCCTTGTTTACCCAGGGTAGCCACATAAGTATTAATACTGCTCTTCCTGTGATCCCTGCAATTGCCTCGTACCCATACACACCTGGGTGGAGAGTGGCAAATGCGGATTGATGTCTTGCAAAAAGACGTTAGTGCCGGGCTTGGATTCGAACCCTCAGCCCTTGTATCGAGAGAGTCAAGTTAATGAACCATTGTACCACGGCACCTTAAATTGAGTTATAAGGATTGCATAAATATGGATTCAGAAACGTTATTTGACTCTAATCATACTAATGCAACGTCTTTTCGCTGTTTTTCCTTGCAGAAACCCCCCCGGCTAACCTTGCAGATAAACTCCTTCGTCCTCTGTCGATTACCTCAGCACCAGAATGTGCGCTACTCCTTACCATGATTCCAGAATTTCGTTCTCACCCATGTAACACCTTAGTCGCAAGGCCGCCATTTTGTTTCCAGCCTAGGACAAATGTATGGAAACCTGCCAGCAACTGTTTCTGCGATAAACTGTTTTTTGAAAAAACAATTTACAAATTAAAGTGCTCATGCCTGTTAATAACTTAAGATATTTTATCGAGTCAGATGGTCATAATGCAGATCGGCTTTTTTCAGGTGGTAGTTCATGCTTATCATGCTTACCATGCCGCGCTTTGGGTGGATCCTGTCGTGGCCAATTTGGTGTTTCCTCTCAAAGAGAGAGAAAGAGAGAAATAGAGAGAGAGAGAGAGGGTAAGGTGTCACAGATGTGATTAAAGTTATTTAGGCAGGACATAAATGAACGAGCCCTGACGGAATTGTGACTGTTTGTAATGGTGAAATTATCTTTAGATTCCATGAGCACGTACTATTGCGTTCTTGGACAGCATCTTATATACAATTATGATTGCGTTTGGTCTGAATCGATCGCAAGTCTATCATTGCAAATTCCATGTTTTATGTTGGCAGTTGAACTGATAGCAAACTCAGGTTGAGTTGCAGTCGATTCTGATCAATCGCAACTCCATTTACGAGACCGAACACAACCTTTATTCTTTGGAAATCAGCCGTTACAAGGGTAGTTACATAATGTTGATGGTTCCAAATAATCATACCACTGAGGACCAAATCATGAGATGGCGACGACCTAATACCACCTTTATACCCGATTTGCGATAAATCTAATGCAACCTAAATTATACTTACGTGCAATCTCTATTTGTTCTCTCATGTGCAATGTTCTTTTAACTTTAACTTATTTTTCTAGTACATGTACATTCCTCCCCAAAAAGCGTAAACACTCAATTAGGATCCCAATTTATTTTACCACCGGTAGTTGTAATTAGTTTCTTTTTTGTAAATAATAGAAGTTTAGCTATGGTTTATTTTCTACATTGTGTAAAGACTTCATGAATGTGTGTACCCACCCTATCATGTCTATAAATGTAAGCAGATATTTTATGTTTGTCATACTGCATTAGTTATATGCATAGAAAGGTATGTAGCGACGTCTACGACAGCACTTATTTATAAATACTCTGTGTAAATTAATGATAATTCCACAATCCTTTTTACAGACTAGGACCGAAAAAAAAAGAAACTTTGGATTGTTAACAGTTAAAAAGGGGGTTACTATATATTTGATGAACCCAAGCATTTAATAAGAACAAAAAATATAATATTCAAAGTTGGATTAAAATGAACGTAAGTGTATATTAGGACGCTTAGTTAAGTTCTTATCAGTAAAAAAAATCAGCCAATAACTTTGTAACTTGTAAAACAAATTAAGCGAATTATTATCATCGTTACCTTAATCTTGTCTAAAATCTTTGTTATTTTTTAGTATAGTCTTCTCAAGTTTTAAATAAATTATTTCACAGCCCAAACTGTGCTTCTATCCCCAAATAAAAACTAGAAAGCAGTATTTCTTCGTAGAAAAATCGGATTAGTGTATTGTGTAGCGTGAAAAATGTTTTGGGAGATTTTTGTAATCTTGATAATAAAAATACCTGTAAAATGAAAAGAAAGATTCAGAGGAAAAGAGAATGTGTGCATTGTGCGGCGGAGGGGTTGTGCGTATGATTTGCGAGTGTGTGAGATGTGAAAGTGTGCAGTGCGCGGCGGATGGGGTGTGCGTGTGATTTGCGAGTGTGTGAGATGTGAAAGTGTGCAGTGCGCGGCGGAGGGGGTATATGTGTGATTTGCGAGTGTGTGGGATGTGAAAGTGTGCAGTGCGACGCGGAGGGGGTGTGCGTGTGATTTGCGAGTGTGTGAGATGTGAAAGTGTGCAGGGCGCGGTGGAGGGGGTATGTGTGTGATTTGCGAGTGTGTGGGATGTGAAAGTGTGCAGTGCGCGGCGGAGGGGGTGTGCGTGTGATTTACGAGTGTGTGAGATGTGAAAGTGTGCAGTGCAAGGCGGAGGGGGTATATGTGTGATTTGCGAGTGTGTGGGATGTGAAAGTGTGCAGTGCGACGCGGAGGGGGTGTGCGTGTGATTTGCGAGTGTGTGAGATGTGAAAGTGTGCAGGGCGCGGTGGAGGGGGTATGTGTGTGATTTGCGAGTGTGTGGGATGTGAAAGTGTGCAGTGCGACGCGGAGGGGGTGTGCGTGTGATTTGCGAGTGTGTGGGATGTGAAAGTGTGCAGTGCGCGGTGGAGGGGTTGTGCGTGTCATTTGTGAGTTTGTGAGATGTGAAAGTGCAATGTGCGGAGGAGGGGTATGTGTGTGACTTGTGAGGGTGTGGGATGTGAAAGTGTGCAGTGCGCGGCTGATGGGTATTTGTGTGACTTGCGAGGGTGTGAGATGTGAAAGTGTGCAGGGCGCGGTAGAGGGGGTATGTGTGTGATTTGCGAGTGTGTGGGATGTGAAAGTGTGCAGTGCGACGCGGAGGGGGTGTGCGTGTGATTTTCGAGTGTGTGGGATGTGAAAGTGTGCAGTGCGCGGTGGAGGGGTTGTGCGTGTCATTTGTGAGTTTGTGAGATGTGAAAGTGCAATGTGCGGAGGAGGGGTATGTGTGTGACTTGTGAGGGTGTGGGATGTGAAAGTGTGCAGTGCGCGGCTGATGGGTATTTGTGTGACTTGCGAGGGTGTGAGATGTGAAAGTGTGTAGTGCGCGGCGGAGGGGGTGTGTGTGTGATTTGCGAGTGTGTGAGATGTGAAAGTGTGCAGTGCGCGGCTGATGGGTATTTGTGTGACTTGTGAGGATGTGGGATGTGAAAGTGTGCAGTGCGCGGCGGAGGGGGTGTGCGTGTCATTTGCGAGTGTGTGAGATGTGAAAGTGTGCAGTGCGCGGCGGAGGAGTATGTGTGTGACTTGTGAGGGTGTGGGATGTGAAAGTGTGCAGTGCGCGGCGGAGGGGGTGTGCGTGTGATCTGCGAGTGTGTGAGATGTGAAAGTTTGCAGCATATATAGTCATATTTTATCACGTTACCGTGTGATAAGACTTGTCTCTGAGACAAAATAACCAAATGATTGATGTGAACTACCAGAAGTGAAGTGAGAGAGTGGGAGAGGGAGAGAGAGAGGGAGAGGGAGGGGGGGTGGGTCATAACAAGGCATTGATAAAGTCATATTAGTAGAGACAGATACGGAATACGAGGAAATACTGATAAAGAACGGAAAGGATAAACAGCTAGAGAGAAGGGGGAGGGGGAAAGATAAACAAAAGAGAAAGGGAGCAATAGAGATAGCGAAAGAGCGAGAGAGACATGATGAAGAATGGGGTGATGCTGTAAAATTAAAATTGTATATTAAGCTTAAATTGATTAACAAAAAACATTTAGGTTTTGAAAAGGCAAACCAGACTAGAAAAACTGGAATGCTACTACAGGGTGTTTTGGTGACAAATAAAAACATGAGATTGGTATCCTGTCTTGCAAAACAGCAGTATGGTGTAAACTAAAGGAACATCATGATACAATAATAAAAAATTCTGTTATACAGTGCGTCTGATAACAAAGCCTTTAATTTTGCCAAAAAGAAAATCCATATAAAGATGCAATGAAAGAGAGATAAAATGAAAAAAAACCTATCTTGATATGTTACAGTTCAACAGTGAAGCTAATTAAGACTAGAGGCTCGATACCATTATTTAACTTGTCATTTGCTTGTGCTTCGTGACGATAAAATAATATCACAAATCAACTAGTTGTTTGCCATGTCATTTTGGGCGTAACAGAAAGCGTGAGCGACACTCGTTCGACAAATGGCATGATCGTTCAATTATGAGGAAAGTGATGAGTTTGTTTGTTGCATAGATTGATGGTAAGAAGATGTGATGACACATTTAGCGCTGACTCTGAAGGTGGAAGGATTAACTGAACGGTTTACTCTTTACATGTTCGGGATACACTTGAAAAGGAAGCAACGAAAGAGCATTTTTGCAGATAGGTCGTTGTAAATTACAATCAGCTAAAGAACATAGCCACGGTTTGTGCTCTGATGCTAAAGGAAGGGACGTTATCGACCACACTCGTAGTTCTGGTAGTTCACATCAACCATTTGGTTATTTTGTCTCAGAGACAAGTCTTATCACACGGTAACGTGATAGAAATATGACTATGTGATATGCTCCTAATCCATGGCAATCAGGAATCTCGTAGTCATCAAATAGATGTATAACTGAACAAGAGGAAAAATATCTCACCTAAGGCGAAATATTCCGAGAGAAGAGTACTTAGACTTTGAGAGGAACGACCATAGTATATATTCTTCAAGATAGGCATAAGTACTTTAGTTTTGCGTTTTAAGTTTACAGATCATAGCTCACACGTACATGTACAACATAAAGAGGGGTATATCATATTTATTAAGCCCGGGTGAAGGGTTAAACTCTGTGATTAATCCACTTGGAAAAGGGGCACTGTCTTACTAACTATTTTTGCTCTATTACAATGGGTGCCAGCGGCTTCGCACTCACTTTATGCCGAATCTTGTTGTGCCTATTCAGCGGCTTCAACTTTTTATCCTATATCTTCATTATCGTGTGCATCATCCGACATCCTTATCTTCAAACTATCACCAATTACACCCTGTTCTCGACGGGTGTGGCTCATATTGTATTTCAATTCATGTGCGTCATCTCAATCTTTGAACTGCAGGACATCTGTTCCGTCAGCAAGCCTTTTACTCTTATTGCATTCCTCTACATCGGTATGGTAGCAGTCTTTGCTAATACTGTTCTGGTCACTATAGAAACCTATCTCAAGGTATGCCATCCCTTCTTATACGCCCGCGTCATAACTGGCCGGAAGTGTTTCCTCTTGATCGCCTTGATCTGGGTAATCAGCTTTTGCTTTGCAGCTATAGCTGGAGAAGCTGGAAACAATTTGGAACATGATAAGTATAGAGATTGTCCTTTTTTGGCTGTTCAAGATCACGATAAAACCATCGGCAACATTTTGAACATAGTCCTCGTGCCTTCTTTGGTCATCATCAGTGTCTTAAAGTTTCTAGTGATCCGTACTGCGAGGAAACAAGCCGTTAGGATAGGAGCTTTGGGCGAAAGAGAACCTTCACAACCTCCACACCAACAACCGAACGGTGACATAGTCGAACAGCTCCAACAGAAATTCAAGAATATTCGCAAGAGCACCATTAATCTTACTATCTTTGTCGGAACATACATCTGCGGCTGGGTACCCGTTCTTATCATTTCAAATATCATTTTCTACACTGATCACCCGGTGGGTCTCAATGCATCAGTCATCATTTTTATGGCTGTGGCTAATCTGACATCGGTAGGACCATTGGTCTATACTTTAAGACAGACGGAGTTCTCGCGTCTGCAGAAGCGCTACGTTCAACAAATAAAAGCCTACGTATGTGAACGTTTTGGGGACATACGCAAGGAGGTTCATGTAAACGTTATCCAGACCAAAACAACAACAGAGACCGAGTTTGGCGCCTCCGTGCCTCAGTAATGCCCATTCGCATTACACACGAGCAAAATATTAAATTAGTATCCTGTCTTGCAAAACAGCAATATGGTGTATACTATAGGCAGATCAAGATACCGGACTCACTAAAAAATAGCAAAAGTAATTCCAATACACAAAAAAGACGACTCTTCTCTAGTTTCAAATTACCGACCTGTATCTATATTACCAAGTATTTATAAAGTCTTAGAAAGACTGACTTATAATAGACTGTATGATTTTCTAACAAAACATGAATTGTTGTATGAAAATCAATATGGTTTTGGAAAATTTCATTCAACGGAGTTAGCATTGTTACAATTATTTGAAAGAGTGTCAAATGCCTTAGCTGATCATAAGCAAGTTATTGGAGTATACATGGATCTGAGCAAGGCATTTGACACTCTTGACCATACAATACTTATACGTAAATTGGAATACTATGGATTGAGGGGTGTTGCTATACAATGGTTTAAAAATTATTTAACAACTAGAAAACAATATGTATGGTATGATTCAAATGAATCAGAATTAGAATCTATTACGTGTGGAGTGCCACAAGGGTCAATCCTCGGCCCGTTGTTATTTCTGATATATGTAAATGATATTTATAATTCATCAAATGCACTACAGTATATTTTATTCGCTGATGACACCAATGCATTTTGTTCCAATTCAGATATTCAGATTCTTTTAAGAAATATTAACGCTGAATTACCAAAATTATCAAAATTGTTTAGAAGTAATAAACTGTCTTAATTTAAAGAAAACAAACTATATATATTTCTGATACTATTTCACGTGATATTGGTATTCTCTGTAAATTGAAATATTATGTCCCTTCAAATATCTTGTTTATGTTATATAATTCATTAACACTGCCTTATATTTCATATTGTAACATTGTATGGGCAAATTCGAAAAGCAACGTTGATGCCATTTTACTGTTACAAAAGAAAGCAATGCGTATATGTACTGATTCTTCCTATCGCGACTACACCAATCCCTTGTTTTAAAAACTATAAACTCTAAAAGCTGATGATATAAATATTCTACAAATAGCACTTTTCATGTTTCGCTTACAAAATGGTCTACTACCTTCATACTCCCCCCCCCCCATTATTTAATTTGAATAAAACCATCCACTCTTACTCTACAGGGGAAACTGAAAAAAAAATCCATTTAAGAAATCCAAAAACCGCATTGGCTCTCAAATCGCCGGCCCAGACATCTGGAACTGTCTGCCCATTGTAATAAGAAACCTTAGGACATTGAACTCTTTTGAGAAGGCAGTTGAAACTATGTTATTGTCTAAGTATTGATCCTGTCGTGTGTAATTGTATTGTATTCTAGTTCGTATGAACATTGACTGTATATTCAACAATGATGTGTAATCGTCCATGTAAACTGCATTCAATCAGCAGATGTATGAGATTTATTGTATTATTACCAACGTTCCTTCTCTCCTCTTTCCTTTTCTTCTCTGCAACTCACTCTTTTGTATTGTTATTATTGTATCTAAGTTAAGGGCTGGCACGTCAAGCTACTTTGCTTATTTCTGTAGCCCTCCTGCATCTAATGTATGTTAATTATGCATTCAATATATTTGTTTAATTTCGTTTAGCTGTATAAAATTATATACACTTTCTTAAAATATTGTATCAAACCATATTATGTTCATGAAAATGTATGATGAAAAAAAGAAAAAAGATGCAGAAACCAACAAATCAAATCAAATCAAATCAAATCAAATCAAATCAAATAATCCAGAATTTTGTTATATTTCACTTAAGAAATCGGCTCTTCTTCTACTTTTAAGAGGGTAACATATCTAACAAAGCACAACTTATTTGAAATCAAAGGGTAATGGGTTATTGCCTTTCCCATTGGTTGTTAGAAATGTCCCCCTCCCACCAAATAGTCCTCATCCTTTGCTGTAAGCGAGTTTTGAAGAAATAAAAAGGAAGAAAGGGCGAACATTTTGATATCGTATCAAAATTGTATTAACAGATTGGGAACATTAGGCAATTATAATTAGGCAATTTGGTAGTACACCAGGAACTCGTTTGCTATGTTTGAAAGTAATGCCATCCATGGACGTCGTTAAACCATTGACAGTGGAGATGAGGGGGGGGGGGGTCGGGAGCTTAATGCAGCCATAGGCGTATAAGGCTGGGTACTGGGCTGCAGCCCAGGGTTTTTAAAGATCCAATATTCGGGCAACAATCACCCCAGATTCGGGCAAGAGGTACCCGGTAATTTAATTTTTTTAATTTTACTACAAAAAGTGTGAAAATATTTGCGTGAAAAGTCTTTTTTTTTAAATCATTATTTTTGTTATATTTCCAAAAACAACAATGACTAAAGAATACGGTGGAAGACATATGGAATAATAATTTGATTACACCAGATTTTTTTCACCACCCAAAATTGTGTCGTTTGTATATTCATTTTTTTTGTCCGGAAATCTGACATGGATGGAGATTTTCACCTGCAATACCAGCGGGGTAAAGTGAAACACCAGATTGTCAGATTTTCCATACAAAAAAAAATTGAAATTTAATTTTGTTGTTGAAAGGTTTAAACGAGGTCCGATACAAGAGAAGTAATCGGAGATCTGTCACATCCCATTCCTTCAGCAACACAGTGACAGGGAAGGCAACAAATATTCCAATCTTTAAATTGGGGAAACATCCACCTGCAGCACAACGCATTTATCATGCAACAGCTTTAAGAACACGATCATATTCCGATAGGCATATTTGTTTATTGCTCCTCAAATTTACAGGTTCTTTTGTTGCTTGATAACAAGCCTTTAATTTTGTCAGAAAGAAAATTTATATAAAGTTTCAATGAAATAGAGATACAATGAGAAAACCAATCTTAATCTGACAACGTTCAATAGCGAAACTAATTAGGAGGCTCAATACAATTATCAAACGTGTCATTTGCTTGTGGCCTCGTGACGATGAAACAACTTTATAATTCATCTGGTTGTGTACCATGTCATAACAGAGAGCGTGAGCGATACTCTTTCGAATAATGGCATGATCGTTCAATTATGAGGAAAGTGAAGTTTTTGATTGTAGCACAGTTTGATGGTGACACGATATGATGACACACGGAGCGCTGATTCCGAAGGCGGAAGGATTATAAATTGAAAGGTTTACTTTTTACATGTTCGGGAAACACTTGACAAGGAAGCAACGAAAGAGCATTTTGCAGATAGGTTGTTGTAAATTATGGACAACTTAAGAACATAGCCACGGTTTGTGCTCTGATGCATCATATTGATTGAGCCCGAGCGTAGGATTATATAACTCTGTAATTAATCATTTTGGAAAAAGGGCACTAATCCCGGTGTTTTATTTTCGCTCTGCTACAATGGATGCCAGAGAATTCGCACTCACTTTATGCCGAATCTTGTTGTGCCTATTCAGCGGCTTCAACTTTTTATCCTATATCTTCATTATCGTGTGCATCATCCGACATCCTATTCTTCAAACTATCACCAATTACACCCTGTTCTCGACGGGTGTGGCTCATATTGTTTTTCAATTCATTTGCGTCATCTCAATTTTTGAAATGAAGGACATCTGTTCTGTCAGCAGCCCTTTTATTTATCTAGCATTTATCTACGTCAGTATGGTAGCTGTTTTTGCTAATACTGTTCTAGTCACTATAGAAACCTATCTCAAGGTATGCCATCCCTTCTTATACGCCCGCGTCATAACTGACCGGAAGTGTTTCCTCTTGATTGCCTTGATCTGGGTAATCATCTTTTGCTCTGGAGCCATAGTTGGAAAAGCTGGACATAATTTAAAAGATGAGAACTATGAAAATTGTCCTTTTGCCGCTATTATAGAACATGGTAAAACCTTCGGCAACATGTTGAACATAGTTCTCGTGCCCTCTTTGGTCATCATCAGTGTCTTAAAGTTTCTAGTGATCCGTACTGCGAGAAAACACGCCGGTAGGATAGGAGCTTTGGGCGCAAGAGATCCTCCCCAGCAACTACAACCAAACAGTGACATAGTCGAACAACTACAACAGAAATTCAAGAACATTCGCAAGAGCACCATTAATCTTGCTATCTTTGTTGGAACATACTTCTGTGGTTGGGTACCCTTTTTTATCATTACAAATATCAATTTCTACTCTGGTAACCCGGTGGGTCTCAATGCATCCGTCATCATTTTTATGGTTGTGGCTAATCTGACATCGGTAGGACCATTGGTCTATACGTTAAGACAGACAGAGTTCTCCCGTCTGCAGAAGCGCTACGTCCAACAAATAAAAGCCTACGTACGTGGACATTTAGGAGACATACGCAAGGAGGTTCAGGTAAACGTTATCAAGACCAAACCAACAACAGAGACCGAGTTTGGCGCATCCGTGCCTCAGTAATGCCCATTCGCATTGCAACGAGCCGTCATTCGCCTGACGTAGAACTTCGACGGAGGTTGCCAAGGTCTTTGCCGCTCCATATGAGTTTGACATCGTACAAAAATGGATTGCAGAATATATAGTGCATTGGATTACTGGCGGATAGGCTCATTGCCATCGGGGTTGATGAGCTCAGGTGAAACGCATCCTTTATGCCGCCTCATGCGCAACAAGATGAAGAACAATTCTTGGTTGTTATTGAACAAAATCGGTCAAACACTGTTCTAAAAATGTTTGAAGAAATTTAATATGTCAATATTTCCTAAATGTATATAACATGAATGAATATTCAAAGAATTCATGTGAACTGAGAGGGCAATGTGCATTACAAAAGTTGTATTATTATTATGACATTCGCAACCCAAACTAAAGGACACACCAATTGGCAGTATAAAAACAAAACAGGGATATCAAAGATATTGAAATTCAAACATTTCTTTTGGGTTTATAAAAAACATGGATGGTTAGTCCGTTTTTAGTGAATTACCCTATAATATATTACGAAGATTGTGTCTCTATCCATGTTAACCCATTAATGCATTGAAATGATCTGGAAAAAA